CCATAGTTTCCAGTATGTTCCTGGGATTCGTCGATGAATTGTGTCTGTGTTTTTTTCCCCTCCGGATTGCTGCGCCCCACGAGGACATACGCGCCCAGCCATGCATGGATACCCTCCCATCTAATCCATGGGGGGGTGCGAGGGCCCGCGCCGTTCGGCCAAAAAATGAACAAGAAAACGACTACCTGATGTGGATTTGTCTTGTTCGACCCTTTGCGCTGCAACACCTGCCCTCCGCCTCCTTGCCTTCCATACATCTGCATGTCACTCCTGTCTCTACACTAGCCCCCCTGCTGCTCCTGCTGCTGCTGCTGCTCCTCCTCCTCCTGCACCTTCTCCTCGTAAGCATCCTCAAGGATTTAGGGGGCCGCCCGTTTTCAAGGCATGGCTCTCGCCTTAGCGCTGCGCACATTCTGTGGAACAGGATCCAACATTTACAAGGATAGGAGAGTGGCACGCTTTCAACATGAGACTCGCGTCTTAGCGCCGCTCGTGACTACTCCCGACAACTACACGGATGGAGGATGGTGCCTTTAAACATTGGCATCTCGCTGAATATCTCCCCGACCATTCGTGTTATAGTGCGCAACAGTTGTAAGGAGGCTCCTTCAGGAGTATGCTCTCGCTTGGGATGTTGCTGAATACGAGTCACCGCCAACATAATAATATCATGTTCCTTGCGGAGAAAGGGCGGCTCCTTTTCAATATGACGGGGCTCTCACTGGCCACTTCCTCCTACCTCTTCGTGTTACTTAGCCGTGAAGGTTGTTGCGCAGTCTCCTTGCAAAACCGAGCTCTCGCAGAATGGCAGGTCATGATTCGCTCGACGTTCAAGGTGCGTTTCATGTTTCGCTCATCTTGAAAGGTGCGCTTCCCGCATTGAAAAGCGAACGCAAGTAGGGACTGGTATGAAGGGGACTTGAGGCGGGAGGGCCTATTGCAGCACCGCTGATACATCCTGGGTTCACTCTGGTCCTCCTCCTCGTCGCCGTCGTTCTCCTTTTCGATGCCTCCAACGTCGCAATGTTTTCGCATGGGCCCCCGCAAGTGTGAGCCTCCCTAGAACCAACTTTGCATCCCGAATGAAAGTTTGACGGCTCAGGCGGAAAACTGCTAAAAACCTTCCGTCGTTCTCAGGCCCTACACCTGCGGTGCGTTCAGCCTTCTGCAGTGGTGCCGAGGAGCTCCTCGGAGGCGCCGAAACTGGTCAGACCGAGATGTTGAACCCTCGAAGCTCGAAACCTTCTCGTCCCCCTCGTCTGTACGCATGGAGTTACCCTAGGTAAGACTTGCTTGTAGTACGAGGCTTGCCGACCTGTGCGTGCGATGTGAGAATACAGTCGGCCCGTCTCATCAGGATACGCGATATGTATCCAAGAGCCTCGGGCGCCAATTTTGAAGCTTTTCGAGCGCGGCGCGGCGAACGAAAGTGGCGAAGAATGGACCGAGGAGGCAAGGATGCAAGGGTACCCCTTGGGAACGTTGCCCATCCTGACTATGCGGGTTGACCGTAGCGGCCTGCGTGCTTCGGCGTGCCACCCTGCGCATCCCGAAAGCGGCGCGCCAAAGGTCACCGTGGCGAAGGGGCACTCGTCTTTACGCCCGGCGCTCGGGTGGTACAACTCGGGTCTCCGGCGGCCGTGCGAGGCAACTCGGTCACCCTTCAGAACGCCCTCGGCGAGGCGCAGCTGCTGGAACGGACACCGAGGCAAGAACACGCCAAGGAGACTGACGAAAACGCCCGAACCTGTTTGGACCTGCGCCCCAAAGGTCGCTCTGGCTAAGAGGGCGCGCCGCTGGATGACCCCAGGGGGGAGGGGGGAACCCACCCTCCCCTTTCCCCGATCCATCGTCGGGGACCCCCGCCCTCTCCCCCCCTTTCCCGGTCCGTCGTCGGGGAACCCCCCCCCCTCTCCCCTTTCAAAAGGGGGGGAGGGTTCCGCCCCCCCCCTCCCCCCCTTTGGCCGCCAAATTCGACCCCCCCCTCCTCCCCCCCTTTCGCCACGGCGCCCCCGGTCTCCGAAACCCGACCCCTACCACCCCTAACGCTGATCCTCACCCTTGCCCTAACCCCTAACCCTAATCCCAATCCCAAACCCTAGCTCCAAACAGCACTCACTACTCATTACGCACTACTCATTTCCAACACTTTACTACTCGCAACTCACTACTCACTTCTCGCTACTCACTACTCACTACTCACGACTCACTACTCACTACCCACGACTCACTACCCACGACGCACTACTCACTACTCCCTGCTCCCTACCCACTACCCACTTCTAACTTCAAGCAACTCATTACTCACTACCCACTACTCAATACTCACTACTCACTAAACACAACTCACTACCCACTACTTGCTAATCACAAAACACAACTCACTAATCACTAACCACTAGCCACTACTCACTACTCACACTTCACTACCCACTACTCACTGCCCACAACCCACTATCCACTACTCGTTACTCGCTACTCCCTACTCCCTACACAGTCCTCACTATTCACTACTCGCTACTCCCTACGCCCTACTCGCAACCCAATACGTTCCATTCACTACCCACTACTCACTACTCAGCACGCTCCCGCCACTCACTACCCACCACTTCCTGCTCCCTACTCACTACTCCCAACTCATACTCACTACCAGTACTCAATACTCAATACTCCTTAAACACTATTCACTGCCCACTATTCACTACGAACTAAGCACTACTCACCACCCACTGACCACTATCCACTACTTACTACTGAAAACTCACAATTCAGTACTCACTACGCACTGCCCAGAACTCACTACTCACTACTCACTATCCGCTACCCAATAGGACATATTCACTACCCACTACCCACTACGCACTACTCGCTACTGAGTGCTCACTGCTCCCTACCTCCTACTTGCTAGTCACTAGTCGCAAATCGCTACTCGCTAGTGACTTTTCACTACTCACGACTCACTACTTTCTACTCGCTACTCCCTACTCACTACCGAGTACTCAACACCCACTTCTCCCTTCTCACTACTCACTACTCACTATCCCTACTCCCTACTCTCACTCACAACTCACTACTCACACCCACTACTTACTACTCGCTACTCCCTTCTCGCTACGCACTACTCCCTACTCACTAGTGACGCTTGATTACTCCCTCCTCACTGCTCACTGCTCACAACGCCCACTTCGCTCGCAACTACTAACTACTCGCCACTCTCTACTCGCTACTCCCTACTCGCTACTCGCTACTCCCTACTCGCTACCCCCTACTCACTGCGCACTACTCACTACTCATTATTCACTCGCTGTTCGCTACTGCCTACTCCCTCATCACTACTCCCTGCTTACTTCCCATTATGCACTAGTCACTGCACACTAGCCACTCCTCTCTACTCACACTTCCTTACTCACTACTTCCTTCCAAGTACGCACTGCCCACTACTCACTGCTCACTTCTCACAGATCTCTAATCTCTACGCGCTACTCACTACTACCACTACCCATTACCAGCTACACACTACTCGCCACTCACGACTCACTGCGTACTACTCACTATCAAATACCCATTAATCACCAATCGCTACTCAAACCCCCCCCTTCAACGAAGGGGGGGGGAAACGGACCCCCCCCTCCCTTGAAGCGGGGGAGGGGGGGGGTCGAACATCTCACCCCCCTTTGAAGGGGGGAGGGGGGGGTTCTGCGAGCACGCCCCCCCTTTAGTGTATTGAGGGCCATCCGCTGGCGCGCTTTCGAAATGTCACTCTTGCGCGTAGCCATCCCCGGCCCTGAGGGGGAAAGTTACAAAAAGGAGCGGCACAAGGGGAGGGACACATCGATCTGGAATCGCCGATAATTCGGCGATGTGCATCCCATGGCGAATCCGCATGCTCCTGGGCGGGATGGGCTACCGGGCTCTTATCGGCGATGAATGGGCGATTGGGGGACGGTGCATCCCCCCCTGGGACAGTCCCTGCTCGGGGGCGCGCAAAAATGGATTAGCGATCCATGGATTTGGCGCGCGGGTGCCAAATCCATGGATCTGGGGAGGTGCCCTCCCCAAATGCGGCCTGTGCCGCCCCGCTCGGCGGCGGAAATCCGCGATTTCCCATGGAAACGGGACCCGTCGCTAATCCACGCCCCCTTGATCCATGTTTGCGATCGCCTGACCTGTTTCTCTCGCCGCCCCTGCCTCCTCCCTCCCCCCGAGCGGGTCGGGGGCGGGGACTCCTTGGGAGGACAGCCGGGGCGCCCTCGGGTCACGATTTCCGAAGCAGACCGTGCCGAAGGCGACGAGGGGGCCCCGAAAACGGCCAGGAAAACGCCTTCGAACCTCGACGCTCGGTCCTCTGGCGATTGGGCACCCGAGTTATCCGGGAGAGACCTGATCCGGGGGCAGGGCCCTGTTTGGAGCCCCCGTATGTGAGCGACGATCAAAAACGGGTATTACGCGAGATGACACAGCGACCCTACGCGGCAACTTACGCGAGCCGCCAGCGCGGCACGCTACACCGGAAACGCAGGCGCTTACGCGCGTCTTTCCGCGAGCAACTTGCGCGCCAATGTTGGCACCGACGACCCCCCGTTCTGCGTCGCTCACATGTGATCCGAAGCCCTGGAACCACTAAATCTGGAATAACAACTGATGCTGGAACATACTGGACAAGATCTGGATGGGCCAAAATGTGGTCCGGGAAACAACTCGTGCTGTGTGCAATCCCGGGAAACCCTGGCGCGGAAACGTGTGGCCCGAATCAAGAGTTTGGTTGGTCGGGCACGTCCTCCTACAGGTGGAGTCTGGACGAAGGATACACACATGAGCAGCAAAAGAAGACATATCCCAAAACCATGAAAACATGGCCCCCCGACAGTCTTTGACAAGCTTTGAAGATACCCCCTGCAGAGGGACATGCCCGACTGAAATCAAGAGCTCTCCCTGACCTGCCCCGCGGCCATGATGCCCCGGGGCTCTGAGGCGAGGCCCTCCGCCCGTCGCGCGGTCGCCTGTCCGCCGCAGCCGCCACGCCGCCACCGCGCGCGCGGGACCCCTGGAGGCGGCCGCCCCCTGCGGCCGCTGCCCCGGCTGCCGCGGAGCGGCCGCCATATGGGCGGCCCGGCCCGTGCGGGGCCCGCGGCGTCGCGGCCCGCGGGCCGCCGACCGCTGCGCGGTCTCCGCTGGCTGCGCGGCGACGCGCCGGGTCGCCAGGGTCGGCGGGTGCCTCCCTCCCCCCGCTGCCCATCCTCCTCTCGTCCTGAGGGCGAGGGGGGCTGCTATCCTCCTCCCGTCCTGAGGGAGGGGGGGGCCTGCTATCCTCCTCCCGTCCTGAGGGCGAGGGGGGCCTGCTCCGTAGGCTGCACGCACCGGTGGCCCGAGTGAGGCAAGCGTGGCCTTCGGTGCGCGGCCCGCCGACGGCTGCATGCGGTGCGACATGCAGCGGCCTGCGTGCTCGGGCCTGCGGCAGCACCAACGGCCAACGGTCACTCTTGCGGAGGGCCGCTCGACTTACGCCTGGCCGTCGGGTTATAAGTCATGCTTCGCGTATCTGGCGGCCGTTCGAGACGACCGGGGCATAGCTGATTCCGCGGACACAAATTGATCGGCTGTTGTCAGGAGTGGCTCGGGCCAAAGTCCCTCCGCTGCACTTTGGAGCCCATTGAATCCTCTGGGAGTCGACAAAGGGTGCTCTGGAGCCCGTGATGGCCTCGCTGGAATCACGGGAATGCCTTGGGGCGAGCGGCACCTTTTGCACACCCGAATCTCAAGGGGGTCCACGTTAGGGGGGGGACCTACCCAGGGGGGATACATCGAGCTGAAATCGGCGATACGTTGCCGATAGATCGGCGATATGCCCCCCGTGGCACATCCGCACGGTCCTGGGCGGGTGGGCTATCGGGCCCCTACCGGCGATGCATGGCCCATCGGCGTTCAGTGCTTCCCCCCCTGAGGCTGTCCCCCAAAGCTGGGGGAACCAAAAGGTACCGCTACTCCCCGGGCCTCTCCCAGGGCGCGTCCTGCCGAGAATTTCGAGGCGAATCCAGCGGTGACGACGAGGGCCTCCCACGAGTCCCCCAAAGGGGAAAACGAGGAAAGGGTGGCGGTATGGGTACCTTGTCGTTCTCTGACACGCGTCGCCCCTGATCATTGGGCCAGGGGCACCTCTGGCAACACCCGAGATCGAGGCAGGCTCGAGGGCGTCGGCCACGAGGCGACAGCCGGGGCCGTCCCTGCGAGGGCGCCCCCTGCCCCGCGGGCGGGCGGCGGGGCGCGGGGCCTCCGACGCACAGCTGCAGGAGGCGTCGCAGCGTCGATGAAGGCGCATGCCGTCGAGGAGGAAGGAGACGAGGAAGGGAGCCAAGGCCGCGCCAACGGCGTGCTCGGTTAAGGGTGCGGTGGGGAATATGAATTTTGTGGCACCGAGCTGACGCAGAACAAAATGTAGGGAATCACGAAACACCGATTCCTACAGCTCAGGCATGCACATGTATCGAATGAACACGGCACAGCGAGGTGTAGGAAAACACGAACCACGCGTTCCTACAACTGGTTTGGCCACGGACCACGCCTTCCGACAATTGGTGTTTGCTACATCGCCGTTATATAGCTAACACACCGTCAGCGCGTCGACGGGGGAGGAGGAAGCTCGAAGATCGAACATGCTCGAGAGTCTTTCGTTACCTCTGGGCCCGGAGGATGCCAAAAGTGGCCGAGGAAGGCCGAAAGCCCGAGGATGCCAAAGATGCCCACGAGCCGCCAGGCCAATGCCTGGCAGCGCTGCCTGGCGGTGGCCGCCGCAGCCTAATTACAGTGGGGTCTCGGCCACAAGAAACCTTCGCAAGAAACCCAACCCTGAAATCCGCGCTTCGTTCAATACAAATCCAAACTTGTCGATCGAAAATCATCCAGATCTTAGTGGGGACCCATCGAAGTCCAAGAAACCCAGGGCACCCTGGCAACATCCAACTGGCTTCTTGGCACGCGCCCCCACTGTACAGGGGGCTCGAGGGAAGGGCCCGGCTTGGCGGGCCGCACGGGAAGTCGGGCGACGCCCTCCTCCACGTCACCGTCGGGCGGGAACGGTGGGGCACTGGCGCGGGAGGCCTGAGCCCTCCACGGGCCCCCTCTGGGGCTCGCCGCTGACCAGGGGGCCGACGAGGAAGGGAGGAGGAAGCTCCAAGGTCGACCATGTTCGAGCACTGCTCGTCATCCCTGGGCCCCCCGGGAGGATCCGGGCTCTCCCAGAGAGCACCCTCAGCGAAGCGCAGCTGCTGGAGAGAGCGCTCCGCGGCTCGAAGCGCTCCTGGGAGCCCGGTCAGACCCGCTCGTACGACGGCATGACGCTGTTCCATCCGTGGGCCCAGAACTCTGGATCCGTTTGTGATGGCCCCCGGCCTCGACAAGGGCCCCCGAGGGCCGAACAATCAAGGGAACACCGCCAGTCGAACAAAGCATCTCGTCTCAGGTCGGGCGTGTCCTCCGGCAGGCGGATTTTGGAAGAAGGAGAAGAAGAAGGCGAAGAAGAAATCGTCAAACAAGCATCCGCAAAATAGCCAGCAATACTTCAGAAAAACGACACCAGGCTATTGTTGGACCATCCTTGAACAGTCCTCCTGTCGGGGGACGTGCCCGACTTGACTCTCGTCGACGATCTGGGGACTCGCTGCCGCGCGGAGGTCTTCCGGCCACGTGCGGAGGCCTCCTGGCTGCGCGCGCGCGGCGCCCGCCGCGCCCGCGCCGCCCGGCGGCCGGGCGCCCGCGCAGCTGGCCAGAATCCCCCGCGCCCAGCCCGCCTCGCCGCCGGAGAGCGGGCCGCCGCCGGCCTGCTCGGAGCGGGATGCCCAGAGGGGGTGCCCCTGCTGGGACAAAAAATCATGGCGGGAGTTGGTGCTTGCTAGTTTCGGCCTGCAGAGGCCCTGGCTGGGCCCCGGGACCGTCCACAACATGTCTCAGGATGAAACACCAGTCCCAAGGAAGGGGTCCAGACCTCTGGGGGTCGACGTTATGAACAAATCACGACGTCGGGGGTCTGGGGAGCCCCTTCGGCGAGAGCCCAAGGTCCCACCCACGCCCCTTCCCGAAGCCCCGACGTCGTGTTTTGTTCGTGACGTGCCCCTCAAAAGTCTGGACCCCTTCCCAGGGACCCGTTTCGTTCGCGTCGTCGACGCGAACCCAGACCCCCTCGCTCTATGAACAAAATCACGGCGGGAAGTTTTTCGCTGTGGTCGATCTCCCGGGGCCCTCCCGGGCCTCGGGACCGTCAAAAAACGACTCAGGATGGGAAGCGGGGCCCCCGAAAAGGGTCCAGATCTCTGGGAGTCCACGGCGTAGTGCACAATCACGAAGTCAGGGGTTCTCCAAACGAAGAGCATTCTAGAGTGGAGATCCCAGCCACGAGGAACAGACAGGGTACCCCTCCAGGGCTAGGGTTGTGAGTGGAGATCCCAGTCACGAGGAACAGAAAGGTTACCCCTCCAGGGCTAGGGTTGTTCTTGACCCCCGTGCCAGTCCCAAGGTTCCACTTTTGAGTGCTTTCGGCGTCTGAGTCCACTCGGCCGTCGAGTGGACTCAGAGTCGAGCCCCTGCGGACACCGAACGAACCCAGACATCCTGGCGTCGCATTCAGTCGCACAGGGCGTTCTCGCCGAGCTTCGGACCCCTCGGGGTCCTCACAATTCGATCCGGCTTGAGACATGCACCAACAATGGCAGATCTACTGACCTGGGGTAATCCGCACCCAGGCCAGTCAAACTTTGCAAGATCCTGCAAAATCCTGCAGGATCCTGCACCCAAACCCAGGTCAATGCGACCGTGGCTCTGCAAAATCCTGCAAGATCTGCTGACTGGCCCCCGTTTGCATTGACCCCCGTTTCTTGAGCCCCGAACAATGGGGTCCAGGATTCCGGGCGTGATATTTCACGAAGACTTAATGCTTACCGACGTCAGGTTTCGAGGAACGGGTTAGCGCAAAGGAGCGCCTCAGGCATCCAACGTCTCGACGGATGCCGGACCCCCAGACATTGCACGCTCATGCAGCCTCGGGATGTTCGTCATCAGCTGCGCCTCGCCAACTGATTCAGAAGTCTGGGAATCCACGCTGCGGGAAAAAAATACGGTCGCAGTTCTGGGGACGGGTCCAACGGATTGATGTTTTCAATTTGGGCATGTTGCTGCCATGTCAGCATCCGAGAGGACCCGTCCGGGCCCATGGACACTCGGAGATTGCTGCGGGACGAAACAGTGCCCCCCAGGGAATGGGTCGAGACCTCTGGGGCCGTGGTCTGAACGAAAGACACCTTCGGATGTCTGGACATGGGGGGGGCAGCAAAGGGGGGCCTTTTCTCCTGGCGCCTGCATGCAACTGTTCTCCTGGCGCCGGAAGCGACCATGCCATCGAGGGATGTGCGTGGCGGCGGGGCCGAAACTATTCAGCAAATGTTCCTCCGAGGGCCGCTGGCGGTGCCGAGAGAGGGGGACGAAGCGAGACGGCTCCGCGCAGGAGTCCGCGCGCCGTCCAAATCCGCCAGAGTCCGTTGAAAAACGGTCCCTGGATCCGAGACCCCTCCCAACGTCAATCCTGGCTGGCCAGTTTTCCGAGTCCCGCCCAGCAGCAGCGACGGAGAGCTTGCAGAAACGCCGAAGAACCAATAAAACAGCGTCGGCGACCACGAGGTCGTCTATACCCAGCAGATCTCAGATTACTGGACTTTCTTTCCGAGCTGCTAGGCCAAGCTCGAAACTCATGGCCTCTGCCCGAAACTGTTTTCGGTTCGTTCGGCAGAATGGAATGGCGACGATCGAGAGTCGACAAAGTCTGGTGGGATGTTCCGAAAACCCCTGGCGAAAATTCTGAAATCCCCTGACGCCCTTGGAAGCCTCCGGAAACCCAAACAGAGCCCAAACCCTCAGCGTCGCCGCCGCCGTCCCGTCGCTGCAGCCGGCCAGGACACTCCAGAACGCGACCGCCGCCGACCTCCCCTGTCCTCCGACCCGAATGCTGGTGGCTGCAATGACCACCACAACCACCACCTCAACGACAACATGTCGATGTCGATGTCGATGTCGATGTCGAGGTCGAGGTCGAGGTCGAGGTCGAGGTCGTCGTCGTCGTCGTCGTCGTCGTCGTCGTCGTCGTCGTCGTCGTCGTCGCAGCCGCCCCCGCCGCCCCCCCCGCCCCCG